AGAGAGAGAGAGAGAGAGAGAGAGAGAGAGAGAGAGAGAGAGAGAAATCGAATGTCACGAGACGATCATTCACTCCGATCTTTACCATAGCGTTTCATGATAAAAATGATCACCGGAGAGCTCACAGATTATGATAAAACAACGACGATCGCACAAAGAGATAACACGCATGCAAACGACGATCAACAGGTACTGGAGAGCAACGCCCAACATTCTGCCACCATAACATATACTATGTCACTGTCTCTATCTGTCTCTCTTTCTCTCTCACTCTTCTCTCTCTTTTTCTCCGTCTCCATTAATTCTTCTTCACGAGCACAGCTGCATTAAGCTCAAATAAATCATTTCGCGCGTTCACACGGATTATTTACGAGTCTTCTTGGGACGCTCATTTGTAGATCGATATGTCAGATAAATGAATCCAGATAACCAAATCTGTTAGAAATAGACGTTACAAAGTGCCCACTGTTTGCTTTGTCGGTAGAATGTCAGCAGAAATATAATAAGATAGAATCTATTAAATGTAATGTGGAGCATTGTGTGATTGCAGAAACTGAGCAGAGTTTGTTATTTTGTAATGATTTAAATGATATATTTCATTTAAATAATCACAAAATAACTCTACTTAGCTTTTGCTGACAATCTGTTCAGATTGTCGACAGGCTCTGACACCGGCAATGACAAATCCACTTCTATTTCAATTTCCAAAGAACAGACAGAAATAGATTTGTATGATCATTGTCAAATTTAAATTTCGGATACTGAGAAATTGTTAGGTTTCTCTTTCCTCTTTTCTATTCTTTTCATACTCCAGGCCTGAACTTCTTCATAGTTCATCTTTTATGAAAAATAGAAGAAACATGAGCCAGTAAGAAGTTCACTCCAGTTTGGAAACAAAACAAGTCTACTGGTATACTATTAAAATTTTACTTAATATACATAGGATGGCTTAAGTATGTACTCTAAGAGATTATAAGTGGTGACTCTTCACATCACTTCAAGATAAAAACTTCATAATCATATATCCAAAACAACATAGCTTTAAAGATCATGGTGTTAAAGTAGAAGGAAAAAAAAATTTCAAAAATTATTCACGTTACTTTTAATAAAACTTCAAACATATATACAAAGTTTCGTCAAAATAACTCGAACAGTTTTTAAAATTTTTGAAAAAATTTTCTCTCAACTTTGATATTTGATATCTCTTGCATTTCTGAAATTAGTTATTTCAGACATATGACCACATGAAGTTTCAGCTTCAATCTTGAATTTTTTGTACAAAAGTCGTCTCTTAAAATCGCTTACATATAACAGCCACACTGTATAACAGGTGAGTCAATAAATAACCTTAATTTTGTTCTAAAAAATCAAGGTGGTGTACATTAAGGTTATTTATTAATTCGTTCACTACATTCTATATATACAGTACACATTATATCATTATTAATAAACGATTATATACGAAATAGATGCGAGAAAGAGCAATTTCTTAATTTCTCTACCTGTCGATTTATCACAGCATATTTCGAGAAATTATAGTGTAAGGACGTAATGTATCGGGGCGTGGGGATAGAAAATATATGATGTCTCGGAATTGCAGATTACCTGTTTACGTCAGTCGGGATCCGTCGACTTGCGGATGTTGGCCGCGTGTACGATAAACATCGGTGACACACACACACTGAAATACGAAATTCGTAAGGCGATAATCAGTTCGCGCCGACGTTACAACGACGATCCTCGCTGTCCGCAACGAGGCATAGCGGAATTTCCTCGAGTTTCGCGACAAGTCAACAAACAACGCAGTTGCACGCAGCGGGACGCAGTGAAGTGCACCGCGAACGCGAGGTCGGAGATGAGGTGAGGTTAGGTCGGACCGGAGTCGCACTTCACGGAATCGATATGATACGCGCGACGAGATCCGCGCGGTTATCGAGAGACCATTTAACCATACTGTGGATATCACTCACCCGACGGCATTAAAAGAAAATTGCGTCGTTTCCGATAACCTCATTTTCATTACTCTTATCACGTTTCTAAGTTAAAATTCACGAGGTTTTAAGTTAGTCGGATTTTCGTCTTCGATCTTCATCGCCTTGAAGCTGCTTATTTCTAGCAAGTGTTAAGAGTTGATTAATGAGACACAATATAAATGACACAATGTAACAGTGAATTATTCACAATTCTTATTATTAAACAAAACTGAAGGTTATGGGTGTTTTTTTAGCAAGAGACTCAGACGACAGTAAATGAATGAACCATTATTACACCCTTGTTATTTGTTTTTCTTGCTAGAAAGAACCATACATGACGTCTAGAATTCTTGATTGTTACATCAAACTGTCAAATCAATTTTACCTAATGTAACAATCGTTAATAATTCTGATTTTGTTTCAGCGACCTTTCTGGATTAAAGCTCTATTTTTAATATCTTTTTTCACTTTGTATTATTATATGTACACTCCTTATGATGCAGCAGTAAAAAATTAAAAATAACCAATTTCATGTAAAAATTCACGTAGATGAATTAAATAGGTGGACAAATAGATTATACATAGCGCGCGCTTTATTTCACGATCTATAGGAATAATCCTTTCGCTCAAGCAAGTACCATAACAATGTGTTAAATAAACATTTTACAATAATAAGTCAATAATATTATGAAACAATAAGAAAATTGCAAAAGAAAAAAATGACTAATATATACGAAAAAAAAAAAATAGGTTAGGAAACAGCAGCGTGAATCGAGGAAACATCCGGAACATCGCGGAATATCACCGTCCGTTGCGCGTAAACACATCGTGGAGGGCGAGATAACGACACATATGATGTTTGACACTTTTGACAGGTCAGGAGTTGAAATACGCGCGCAGTACATATACATACCATGGATACCAACCTTGGATCGCGCGGGGAGGTTAGGTTCTCGCGAAGGGGCTGCGCGCGCGACCTCGACCGCGAGGTCGGTGCTCGGCGTGAAGTTGGGCGAAGTTCGCCGAGGGTTCTCGCCGTGTCCCGATTCCCGCATCGGCGAGCGCGGCGGAGGCAGATTGGAGCGGTTCCGCGTCGTCGTGGCGGACGTCGACGACGCGGTTGGCAGCAGTGTCGCCGATATATCGGCGAGAGGAGCGAGAGAAGTGCCGTACGGACACCTCGCGCGCTTCCGTTACATATTATTTGTGTGTGGCGGGGTCATCGCGGGGAGAAAACGGAGGGAAGAAAGAGAGAGAGAGAGAGGAGGAGGAGAGAGTGCGAGAAGAAGAAGAAAAATAAAAGTGTCGGAGAAGATGCGCGTGCGGCAGCGCTCGTGAGTGTCGGGCGGCGCGCGAGGACGAGCGAAATTCCGTCGTGGCGCCGAGGAAGGTGCACCATCCGCGGTCCTCCCCCCTCCCCCTCCCCTTCCGTGGAATGTGAGTAAGTGGTCCGCAAAACCGAGAGCGAGAGAGGTGTCCCCCGTCCCCGTCTCAGTCCTTCCCTCCCCCCCTCCTCTTGTTCGCCAATCGTTTTTTTTTTTTATCCTCGCCTCCTCCGCCGTCGCGCGCGCGCGCGCGACCACCGCAGAGACTTTCCGCGGAAAAGCCGCGAAAACTACGTCACGAGTGACGGATTCGGTCGAAACTGGGACAAAGTGCAGTGCACTCTGGCATTGCGCTTTACCACCAGGTGTTTCTATGCCGTAATCTTCCCAGGATTGGGTAACACTCGTACCGTTGCACCTTGCTCTCTCGGACACCTCTCTCGGAGTATTCACGCGCGAGCTCTCTCTCTCTCTCTCTCTCTCTCTTTTGCGCGGAGTATCTCGTGAAAATCCGCACGGTTGACAGCGCCTGACAGAGAGATATATACGGGTATCGGACCCGCCGCCCGCGGAGAGAGAGCTGACAGGTAAAGGTGGCATCGAACGCGCGACGGTGCGAGAGATGCGAGCGGACGCGAGCTCGCGCGTAACGTCACGGTGATATCGACTGTGTTACACACGGTGAGACTCTCTCTCTCTCGCGCCGCCAAGACGCACGATTTAAGACGGCGTTTCGTTTCTCCGCGAAGGATTCGCGATGTCGACGAGAGGTTCGTTCGCACCCACGAGCGAGCGAACGAACGAACGAACGATCGCGAGTCCTACGTAGCGAAACGCGTTCCTGCATTGCGTTTCGAAATTTCGCGACGTGTCCACGAACGTGGTGACGACGAACGGGTTGACGCTATGTAGGGCACGACGATATCGGGTCGGGTGCCCCGCGCGCGACGAGCCTCCCGTTCGCTCGACTCGGCGAAATATGGAACGCGGTGCGCGTCAGATGATCGATCCTTCCTCGCAGCTCCCTGATTATGCTTGTCGGTTCTCTCGAAAGTTAGCGAAAGAAAAGTGTGATATATTCAAACGAGATACGATTGTATTTAAATGGGCGAACGGACGGTGATCGGTGTTCCCTTTTAACGTTTGGGGACTCTCGAAGCTGTTACGTGAATTAAATGGGTAGCTGATCGTGTTTGATGCTTGAGAATAAGCTTGATTAATCCAAGTACTTGTCGTCTTAGGTTAGATGACGGACTCAAGATAGTCCTTCCGCCTGGTAACATGTCAGATGGGGTTGATGGTGGTGGTGGGGAAAACGAGGTAGACTCTCATTCCTCTTCTCAAGCCGAAGCTGGAGACTCTTCTAATCACAGGGAAGAAGAAACGTTAGATCCTGATAACGAAGCAGCTCTCAACACGAATTATGATAGTAGCGATGGAGCTGTTCCTGCGTTTAGGTGAGATTCAAAACACAGCTTTATGTCTGATTAATCACCGCATTCAGCAAGATGTTCATTTTACAACTGTTGAGACTTTCTTTCGCTGCGATAGAATTATTTCTTTAGATCTACAAAGACAATCTAATCAGCATAAAGAGAACTTTTAACAGTTGCAAAATAAGTATTCTGCTAAATGTAGTCATAACTACGTTCAGTAGAGAAAGTAGCTTTGCAACTATTGTAAAATCCTTTTATATGATTGGTCTTGTCTTTAGTTTCTTACTGGATCTAAATGTGTAAACCAATCATATTAAAGAATCATACAACATTTACAAAATTGCTTTTTCTACTATACACAGCCATTTTCAAGTGACAATTGCAATCAGCTGATTAGAACAATATTCTATTTTAATTCCATTTAATTCTTGATTCTAATTTCTTTAATTTTCCTAGATGTGATAGATGCGACAATTATGAGACTATAAATAAAACAGCTTTCTCCGCTCACCAAGACCAATGTCTGGCGAGTGGCGAAGCTGGAGAGAGCGCTGAAGGCATAGAGGGAACAGAAAATGACGGGGATGCGGAAGAAGGCCATTCAGGGATCAGGTCTCACAGAAAGATGTTTGAATGTGATGTCTGTAATATGAAATTTTCAAATGGAGCTAATATGAGAAGACACAAAGTGAGTATAGAAAGATTATACAATAGAAACATTGACGATACATTACGATACATTATGCTTAATATTGGAAGTATTGTATTAAATGTCATTATTGATCATTTTTATTTTTTATATTAATATTATATTAAATTAATTTATAAATAAATAAATTATTTGATAATGACCTAATAAAGGTCGAAACGTCTGTTTTAAATTATATTAAACTTTATATTTATTTTTAACTAATGACATCTTATATATTTACTAAGACCTTTATAATTTAACGAATGTTGGCTCGTAGCCCTGTTGTTTTAATTATTTTTTAAATTAATTTATGTTTCTCTTATATAATAGATAAGACTCCGAAATTTTTTGACTTAATGATTGTATTAATAAAATATTTGGTTTTTTTTATTACTTCGTTTTACACACAATAGTAATTTATTCACTTGATTCTCTTTTTAGTGAGTAAGACATGTTTGTATATGCAATTGATAAAACTTTAACAAAAGTAAATAGAATTTTTAGGTATAGAGTGATAGGCAACCTTTTGTAAGATTTGCTTTCAGAAATAAATAAAATCTTGTTAGATGTATAATATATATCTTGTTCGCATAAAGTAAAAGGTATGATTTTATTTTTTGGCTACATGCTAACGGGTTGCAAAAAGTTCACAAGTAAATTACAAGTTGCACATCATTACTATAGAGGATAGTGTAAATATATAATTCTTATAAATTATATACTCTTCTTTTCTTGAATAATCTTTTTTATACTAAATTAATATAGTTATCTATAAAAGTTTGACCTATTGCACCTCTTTTATCTTTTAGATGAGGCATACAGGCGTAAAACCATACGAATGTCGGGTATGTCAGAAGAGATTCTTTCGGAAGGACCATCTTGCGGAACACTTTACAACACATTCAAAAACTTTGCCATACCATTGTCCGATATGTAATCGAGGTTTCCAAAGACAAATCGCGATGCGCGCTCACTTTCAGAATGAACACGTTGGTCAACACGATATGGTTAAATCGTGTCCTCTCTGCAATTATCGTGCGGCTACCATGAAATGCCTTAGGTTGCACTTCTTTAATAGGTAAGTGTGTGAATTATTTAAGGAAGTTGTCATATATATATATATTTTACATATATATCTTTTATTGTTTATTGTAGACATGGAATAGATTTAGATAATCCAGGACCAAATAGCTCTACGTCCGTAATGAATAGTTGCACATCTGGGGAGGCGATGCCTTCGGCACCTCTATCTGATAGCGGGGATAGTACTGGCAACCGTTCGACCGACAACGCCACGCCTCCCATGCATTTCCTCACGCCCCACGTGGAGATATCCATTCCTTATCCCGAACAAGCTGCCAATCAACGAAATCCAAGTCCTGCCCCGTTGAACGGAGACAGTCCCAATAGTCCCCAGAGCGCCGACAGCAATAGCAATGCACCAAGCAGTAGTCATCATCAATTATCTATCAATAGCAGTAGCATTCATAGGTGAGCATTTAAAAAATTACTAAATTAGTATTTCTAAAATTTACTAATATTTATTGCAATGATTGATTGTTAAAAGTATTACAAATTCTTTATTGAAAATTTGTAGTAGTCTTTCTTTCTATTTTTACGTTAATTTTAATATTAATTTCGCTTGTAGTTTAAACATTAATTTATAAATTCCGACAATTAATTATGTTCTGAATGACATAAATTACAGATCGGATTTTCGCATTTTTCTCAGGAACGTAGGCGGAGGCGACGAAGCCATTACACCTTCGATCTCCTTAATACCTATCAAACAGGAACCAAACAGCAACGGTATGGATGACAGCGGAGCAACATCGAGCAATCTACCGTTACCATCGCTGATCAAGGTTTCACCGTTAAAATCGTTGCTGCGCGATGATCTTCGCCGTAAGCTTTCTACCAGTACCACCAATAACAACAATAACAATAGTAACAACAGCGGTTGCGGTGGCGGCGTTAATTCTAATCCACACTCGAGGGGCGAACCACCCACTTCTACCAGACCGGATCCTCGTACGAGTGGCCTTCAATGCACCCACTGTCGCATTACGTTTCCGGATCAGACGTTGTACTTCCTCCACAAAGGTTGTCACAGCGAGAGTAACCCGTGGAAGTGCAATATTTGCGGGGAGCAGTGCTGCAATCTGTACCAGTTCAACTCGCATTTACTGAGTAAGAGTCATCAGTAGCTGGGAGGAGAAAGCAGAGAAGTACCCGCAGTTAAAAATATTCCTTTTCCCATTTCTTCTATTTCTTTTCTTTTCCTTCTTCGTTAAACGAAACAAAACGGCAGGTGACTCGGTACGTCTTACGTACATCCAGTGTTCATTAGCATGAAGGTATAAGTATTTTCTGTGACGTGACCAGACATACTTCTCGCTAAAAATATTTTCAAAAACGTGCAAAAGCGTGCCGAAACACGACGGCAAGTCAATTGTAAATTGAATTGTAAATTATCTTTAAGAATTCGAGAGAGGGTATGTCTGTTCCCTCAGAAAATAATGTACAAAGCGCGACAAATTGTGCCTTTCCTTTAAAAAGAGAAAAAGGGAGAGAAAATTGCGAGAGAAAAAGAAATTGCCAACACACTCGTCCATCATGCTGTTATACATTGTACGAACTATCCGTCCATAGGGCTTTATCGAGATATATTCCGAGCTCTATCATTAGTCCTTAAATTAGTAAAATAAGTATGGAAACGCGACGGGGCACGTCGCAAATTGCCCTGTCGACAATTGTGAAAAGTAAAAAATATATACACTGCCAGTCAAAAATCTTTGAACACCATGCATACTTACGGATAAGGATAAAAACGTTTAAGATAAACATGAATATTCGAATAAATTGAAAAATTCAAGGACTCTATAATAATTACATAATTATATAATAATAACATTAAAAAGAGCGAAGTAAGAGTCAAATTAAAATTAAAAATCTAAATTTCTCTGATAATTTATTATTTTATTCTAATATATTGCGAAGAATATCACATAATTTTGATGAATATTCGATCAAAACCAGAGAAAATATTATATTTATTTATAAAGTATAAAAAAACAGACCAAAACAGTATCGTTTGAGACTCTTACGATTAGAAAAAGTCAAATCTTTTTTGATCAAAAAAGCCACCATTAGCTCTCAACACATTTTTGACTACTCTAGGCATCCTGTTGATTAAATTTTGCAAAATAATTGGCTCTAATTGCTTCTAAGGGGCTTCTAATATATTCCAGAGGCTTTCTTGAGAGGTTTGACACTGTTTCCTCACTTTTTACGGCCAAGTTCTTCCCATAGAAGTTCCTGGGTTTAGACCAGGCGATTGTGGTGGCCATTCCATTAATTTTAGTATATTCTTTTCTTTTTTCAAGAAATTCTTATAAAGCTTTGAAGTGTGTTTCGGATCATTATCTTGCTGCATAATGAATCCCCGGCCGATCAGTTTTTTTCCTGCAGGAACTGTGTGATGAACAAGGATTTTGTGGTATGCTTTCTAATCGAGATTTCCGTTAATTCTATACAGAGCACTCGTAGTAGGAAAATGCCCCCCAAACCGGTACGGATCCTCCACCATGTTTGACAATTGGTGTAATGCAGTTGGGCATAATTTTTTCATTCGCCGAGCGTCGTACGTATATTCTTCTTTTGCTGCCAAATGTCTCAAATTTGGACTCATCCGTCCACAACTTTTTTAAAATCTTCTATTCTTGTGTTTCTGCGCCCATTGCAATCTTTTCTTTTTATTTACTGGACGAAGAAGTGGTTTCTGGGATCTTGGTGGACCTGGGGATCTTCAGTTTTGAGGCAATGTTACGAATAGAAAGACCATCATTGTTGTAGTATGCATTGATTATGGCCCTCGTCTCTTAGTCCACATTTGTTTGCAATCGCGGAGCCATTTCTTATAACGTTATGACTCACACAAATTTTTTTTTCAATTCAATAAAAGATAAAAATTTGTATTAATACTAGAGTACTACATACTTTGTTATCAAATCTTTGTCTCTCAATTTTCTACAAATGTTTTCACGTTAACAAAAGACACATAGCGGAAATATTTGCAAATACACAGACAAAGATACAGTGCCAAGCGAAATGGAAATTGAAATCACTGTTGTCAACTAAATGCTTTTTCCAAAGGTTCGAAAGGGTCAAATGATAATGTTTTGTTCTGTTTCTTATACTTTATAAATAAATATAATGTTTTCTTTGGTTTTGATCGAATATTCATGTTTGTAAACAATAATAAACAAGAAGAAGGAAGCCAATAACGGTCAAAGCTGGATCACAGTGCTTATTATAATTGTGTGAATTTTATATACTGCGTATGAAAGAACTTTATTACCTTCAAGCATACAAAGCCTAAGAAGGGGGCTTGGTTTACAGTTTATCTATCTATCCTCACACATCCATCCATACTCTACTCTCGTGCATATTTCCTCTTTATCCTAGTTTACTCAACTAGCCTTCATTCATCTATTAGCATAATACGTTACAACCTTTCCTCTCTTACCTATTATCTATTTAATTTATCAATTCCTCCTTGCAAATTACAAAAAAAATTACCTCCCTAGTCATTCTTGTATTCCTAACTCGTTTCCTTGCTTCACAATTCTATCCTTTTCTATTCCTTATTCTATTTTATTCTATTTCTCGTAGCTACTCAAAACTGACCTATTTAATTATTATCGAACAAAACATCGCAGTCCATCTCAACACACATACGCTCACATGCACGCCACCTAACCAAGTCCTATATATACTGCGTATGTAGTCCCCCCAAAAATCGCGATACTGATAGTTTTTCAGCATTGACGCATACATACTTACTACCGCAATAACATCACTTAGTTAAATTGACAAGTAATCTAACAATTTTTTATGCTTATAGCATCTTATTGGTTCTTAATAATATGTTGAAAGACGTATATTAAAATTTAACAATGTAATGTTAAAGTAATGATAAATTAAAATCTGTGAAAAATAAGATTGCGAAGAACATCACAAGTTGGCGTTTCGTCCATGTTTGTCTTAAACATTTTTGTCCTTATACCGTAAGTATGCATGGTGTCCAAAGATTTTTGACCGGCAGTGTGTGTATATATATATATATATATATATATATA